GCCCCTGCCCTGCGCCCCCCCGGGCCAGCGCCACGGCAGGCACAATGGGGCAGCTGCCCACCCCAGACCCTGCTGCTCACACACATTTCCTCCTCCAGCCCCTTCCCTCTCTCAAGGCAGCCAGCGAGTAGCCTTCAACCCAGACACTAGCCACGAGGCAGCACATACCCACTGACGGGCTGCGGGATCACAACGGCCTGAGTGCTAATCCCAACTCCCTGGGTGACCCCGGCCCTCTTGGCCTCACTGTGCCTCAGTTTCCCCAGTTGTGAAACACAGATACCTCCCTCCCAGGGGATGGGGCGAGTTAATGCTCTGCTGAATGTAGCAGCATTTCCAGCAGCAGCCTGACGGAGAACCCTGTGCCAGGCAGCGGCCCACGGGTGGCCCTGCCTCTAGGAAACAGCAGCGATGGGGCGCACAAATGAGCTCCAGTCTGCAGAGCACTGAGAACAGGAGAAGGCCCCTGTTGGGACAGTCAGCTGGGACCCGTGATGGTCAAGGCAGGGCTGCCATTTGCTGTAACCGCAGCATTTCCAGCAGCAGCCTGACGGAGAACCCTGTGCCAGGCAGCGGCCCACGGGTGGCCCTGCCTCTAGGAAACAGCAGCGATGGGGCGCACAAATGAGCTCCAGTCTGCAGAGCACTGAGAACAGGAGAAGGCCCCTGTTGGGACAGTCAGCTGGGACCCGTGATGGTCAAGGCAGGGCTGCCATTTGCTGTAACCTTGGCAGCGCCCTGACAGACGCACCCTGCTCCTGCGCAGGCTCCGGGCCCTTGGGGAAGCCTGTGCCCAGCCCTGGGGCCCCTGGCGCAGTTGCTCACCGATCCAGAAGTTGCGGGTCTCGAAATCCGGCTCCGTCACCTCATTGGTGAGCTCCAGCCTCCCCAGGTAAAAGGCCAGGATGTCCTGCACTTTCTGATTTCTGATGTGGGCCAGCATCGCTCCTTTCTCCTGCGGGGAACCAGAGCCGGGCAGCAGTGCGACAGGCCCGGTACCCAGGCGGGACGGCGCCCTCGTGTGCCCTGCCGCCAGCCCTCAGCTCCATCCCCGTCCGAGGGGCCGGGACGCTGCTGCTGGCACCAAGCGGGGGCGGGAGCCCAGAGCCGGGCTTGCGTCCCTCGTCCAGGAAGCCGCTGGCCTGAGAGAAGGCCGCAGATGGATGACTCCTGGCAGCTGGGCCAAGCAGTGACAGGCTGGCGCAGGCACTGCCGAGGGGTTACCTGGCATTTAGCTTTGGCTCCATAGTACGTGTCTGCCTCAGAGGAAACCAGGAAGCAGTCCCCGTCTATCCGCAGGTCGCAGGTGTGGAAGGGGAACTGGACCCTGGCTGCGAGAGACGAACGGATCAGCCTCTGCCTGCAGGAGAGACAGCCCAGGCTTCTCCCTGGCCGGAGTGGGGGATGGGACGGGAAGGGGGGCCATGCACGGCCAGGGGCCCGCACAGGGGGGCATGGCTC